CTTAGAGGTCGGACGCCGACGTTGCATTCATTACTACGATAGAATATGGGGGAAAGATGTGGATTTGAGAAAAAAATTCTAAGTTGAAGCAACGGACGGACTAACACAAAACGCCAGGCTGTGTGGAAAAGGTAATCTCTCATAGTAGCACAATCACCAGTGGAAAGGCACGTGAATGAATATATAGGGGCAGAGCAGCAACTGCCCGCCTACCCAAAAGGCCAATTAATTTTGGCCGCATTAACATCACCCTCTCCTAGGGAAACGTACTGAAAGAATCACCCCGGGTCCCCCCTTTATCATGTCGAGCAAATGTTGCAATCCAGCTGAATTCGAGAAACTAGGGGCCTTGGGGGCTCCTCAGTATTGCCAACATCGGCCCGTTAGAAGTTGTCGATTTAACCCCGAGGCATAGTCCAATTTGAGGGTACCGATCGCTCCAAGAACGGATTTCAAAAGGCTAACGTCAAAAGTAGAAAGTCTAAATCTGCGAAAGCTGAGGAACAAAAAGAAAAGAAAGAGAAAAAAGCTGGAAAAACAGAAAGCATAAAAGTCCCTCTTTTCACTTTGCCAAAAACGTATCCATAAGACACAACTTTACAAAATCCATTCCCCGGGGACTACATACAAAAGGAAAAAGAAAGGATGCAAACGACTTGAGGACTACTCTTCATCATCACTATAATTGCCCTCATTTGGGACAATTAAAAGCGCCAGTTCTCTCTCCAGTTCGCTGGCTTCCTCGAGATCAACTAACAGATAGATGCCCCGGGCTCCTATCTCCTCCATGGATTCTCTCTTCGCCTCTACCTTAGTGTGATCAACAGCCCGAGCTAGCTTCTGCTCGGCTGCTATCGATATGTCACGAGCTATTTTATGCGCCGTGGCTACATCATCCAGATAAATGGCAGCATTTCTTTCAATCTTGGACTTGGCTGCGACCGAGGCAGCAACTTCCTTGCGAGCATTCTTGAGAAGATCATGGGATAATGCCAACTCCTCAGTAGTTACCTCACTTTGCTTCCTCAGCCCGAGGATCTCTTCGCACCTCCGCCTTAGCATGATAATAGCCCGAGCTAGCTTCTGCTCGGTTGCTATCGATATGCCACAAGCTATTTTATGCGTCGTGGCTTCATCATCCAGATAAATGGTAGCATTTCTTTCAATCTAGAACTTGTCCGCGACCAGGGCAGCAACCTTATTGCGAGCATTCTTGATAAGATCATGGGATGACGCCAACTCCTCAGTAGCTACCTCACTTTGCTTCCTCAGCCCGAGGATCTCCGCGTTCAGTTCTGATCTGTGAACCATTTTGCTCAACCTACAAAAGAAAGGTAAGCCAATTTGGGTTGGAATGTGGGAGCAAAGGTCGGGTACGAGCAGGGCGAGGTACCTGCGCAGCGAGCTCAGCCTTTTCCCGAAGCGCTCTCTCCGAAGCAGCTCGGAGTTCTCCCAATTCTTTCTCTCCCCGGGCAGAGTGAGCCTCCGAATCTTGTAGCATCAAGGTAAGCTTCTTACACTCCCCTTCACGGTAAGAAAGCTCCTCACGAAGCTGAACGAAGGCATGATCATACATATCCTTGCACAACTACATAACGAAAAAGTTAGAAAGACAAAGAATGACACCTAAGACTGAAAGAGAAATATATGAGAGATAACTATCACCTGCCACATGAACCTCTTCGCTACCTTGATTATGCCAGGAACGTCAAGACCGATACTATCGCTAACACCATCGAAGATGTTGGCACAAGAGCCTCCTCCTTGGAGAGGAATCCCTATTTTGGGGACGTTCGCTTCTTTAGCGTCCCTCAATTCCCCTAACGAGACCTGAAATCATGAGATAAAATCATTCATGTCGCCAATTTCCCCAAAAGTCAACCCTTGCTCTTGAAAAGCTCCGGTCCCCGACCCTTCAAGATCGATAGTAGCGGTCCCCCCAACGAAAACTGCACCAAACCCAGCCATGCGATCTGAGCCACATCAACACCCCCTCAAGGGTCTCTAGTCTACGGGACCGACCTGCGTCGGCCATTTTAGATTCAACAGTCTCCGATCGAGGCACCTGCGAGGCTCCCGCATTTGACCTCATCCTCTGGGCCAACTGGCATTCATCGTCGCTGTCATCCTCACCCTCGGCACCAGGATTTGTCTCTGAAGTTGAAGTAGAGGTCCTAGTAGTGGTTTGATGTTCGAGTAACCTGGATTTCTTTATCGTACAAAGGTCGACAACCGCCTTTCCTTTCCTCTTCTTACCATTCCGAGGATCCGAAGCCTCCGTCCTACCACCAGGGGGCGGCCTCATCTCCATATTCTCGCCAAGGCCTGCACAAGCATGATAACCATAATTTGTCAGCACGAGGAATGTAGGGAGAAACACAGATCTAAGACATAGGCAGCAGAGAAGCTCTACCATGATTCTTGGCCACACATCGCTCATTGTCCAGGTCGGTCCAACATCGAACATGATACGGGAATGCGACGTCCAACCGTCTGATCCACCCTAGCAAGTCCGAAACTACCTCAGGGTACCAAGCAGCGGCTATGTGAAACGACAAAGAGATCATCATTCAGGGAAAAGGGAAGAAAATTGCAAAACATGGTTAAGAGATAATCGCTTATGCTGTATGTTCCACCTCTCTGGGAAAGGCATATTTCGAGCTAGAATGAAGTCCGAGGCCCTTACTGGACGAACCTATTCATCCATCCTCGATCCTTCCCTTCGCCGATGCTCGAGAAAAATGATTTCTTGGATCAATTATGGAGCCTGATCAAACATCGATAAAATTGAGGGTTGTATAGCCTAATCAAATGGTTGAGGGTAAAAACCTCGCCCCCAACCCTTCGGTGAAATGACGGAGCATTAATACTATCCTCCAAATAGAGGGATAGATCTGACCGAGCGTCACTTGATATTTGTCGCAAAAATTTTAGGATAACCGGATCTATTTCTGGGGAAGAAGGTTCAGAAGATTCAGAGGACTCAGTAGGACACAAGGTTAACGGGTAGGTATACACATAAAGGAAGTCGTCCTTGTAGTCCGTTATATTTTCATCAGGGCTGGGAATTTCCACCTGCACTGCCTTGCCCCATCGGTAGTCCGTCTTCACTGTTTCGATATTGGTCACGATACTAATGTATTGGGAAACATGTTCACATCGGCCCGGAGTGGATGAAGTGGCATCGACGGTAAAATCTTTTGACATGTCAAGCTTGGAGGGAGTGCAATGTTCCAAGGTGGGTACCGCTTTGGCTTTCTCTTTGGACGACCGAGACGAAGATGCAACTTTGTTCCGCTGAGGAACCATTCAAGAAGTCCTGGCCATATCAATGGTAAAATTTCCTCTCAGTAAGAAAGATGGAAGAATGTAAAAGAAGATGGGTATGAACTATTGAATCTGAAGATGCTACAAAAATGAGGATTATCAAACAGCCGATGTATTTATAGGAACCGCTTGGGCAGCGGAAAGGACGAGCCAATAGCAACTCGTGGGTTCCTCGATAATTGCATTTGACGGCAACCCTTGCACGGTTTTTTGGGACATGGCATTTAATGCTCTTATAGGATGACGTCACAACAATGATGCTCTCAGAACGACGGCTCAAAATCGTTTCCTATTACTTCATTCCAGGAAACGCGAAGACTATCTGTATACGGTGAAATCGGAGGGTCCAATTCCTCATTATTGAGGTGTTTCAGGAAATCATCTCGAGATCTCGAGGCTGCAAGATTGCAGTCGAGTTCTCTCCCTCGATGTTCATTTACGCCCGACCCAACGACGATGCCAAGGATGGGGAGTTCCCAAGGCGAGTGGATAGCACTGGTAGAGCCTGGTGTCACATCTAGTCATCCTATCTCCATACCTTTACAATTAATGAATTTTGTACTTTGCTAGGATTCCCCTCCTATATAAAGGGGATCCTTACCACTTAGTAAAGGGCTGTTGTTGCTCTAGTTATTCTATATGTACAAGAACTCTCTCCTTTCTCTCTAACATATTCCCTCGATATTGTTGCTCTTACTTACCACTTTCATACTTATTCTTCATTTATTGTTTATTATTGGACATAAAAAGCCTCTTTTAATTATATCCTAGCTATTAGCCCTCTCCCAATTATCCACAATAGCTCAAGCCCGAGCCCAAGCATGGACCTCGAGGCCCCTCATCGGTTGGCCCGAGGACTGAGTAGCTAACCCCTTGGTTTGATTATATCTCTATTTTATCTTGAATTTCATCTTCTATCTTCACATATCTAGCATCAAATACTTAAACAACTAGCATAAAAATAAATCACGTATTTTTAGAGTCACATCAACAAATTTAAATATTATAACCATTTTCACGGTAAACACCCTAATTCTTTGTTAACCTTTCACCGTGTTAAATCCCAAACACTAAGCATGAACACTAAACATACGATTTAGCAGGCTCACTCGTCTTAAATAAACCACCACATAGCTCAATGTAGACATTCCAAAGTACACCAAACAATTTTACCAAACCATTGCAGTAATCTAACATGACCTAACATGAAAACTAGAACTAAACAAAGAAAGAATTTCAGTTCATTTAAAGACTTACCCATTCTTCCAAACATTATTTTTATACTATGAAATATCGAGAACACATTGTTTTGCCTTAATAAAGTACTCCAGTAATATAAAGATAATGGCAAAATCACCAAGTCATGAATCCAAACAGTGGTGAAATAAATTTCCAAAGCAGTGAATTGATTTCTTTAGCAACTAAGATTAAGCTATTGAATCCTCTTACGTACGTTCCATGATCGAAGTCAAAAGAAAGGGAACACATACAGACTATTTTTTGTCTCCATAAAAATAACTCATACACTCTAACAAGTATTCATCAATCATACATACATCAATAAGTTAATACAAAGTTAAAAGAGCAACAACTTAATAAAAGGGAATGTAGCAATTCTAGGATTAATCAAACTTCAATCACACCAAAATAAAGCAGGGGAGATTAAGAATAACCTGAAATTTAGATTTCAATTAATTTTCAGTAGCTGAATAGCCGAAAAAATAGTCCACAATGAGCCAAGTAAAGATAGAGACGAAGATGAACCGAGCTTAACTAAGCAGCAACAACGATTTCAGCAAAAATAGTCCTTTAATAGCTCGATCTAAACTCGAAAATCCCAGATATTGCACAGAATGTCAGCTAAGTGAAGCAACTTGTGAAATCTGGGAAGAAAAGAAATCAAGCTCTTCTCTTCAAATCCCAATGTCTAATTCTTATTTCTTCTTTGTTTTTTTTCTTTATCTCTTTGTTTTTTCCCCTTTTTCAGAATTTCAGATCTTTCTTTGAGTCCTAAGAGAGGTGAGACGAAGAGGTGTGAGCAGACCGGAAGGGGTGATGGTCTGTTCTTCACGGTGGTCGCTTGGGTTGAGTGAGAAGTGGGGAAGAAGAAAGAATGGATAAGAGGAAGAAATCTCAGATGCGCCGTTTCTGTGGTTTCTTTCAAGGGGAGGGGAATTGAATTAGGTCTCTAGCCTTTTTTCAAAATAGGAAGGTCTCCTTATTAGATTAGAAAATGGGGTTTTTAAAGGAAGGGGTCCGATTGGGCCAATTAGGGAATGGATAGGGAAAGTTTGGGTTATTTCGGTAACTGGGCCGATGCAAATTCCCTAGACCAATTGCAATGAAGAATAAACAAGTCCCTTTCTTCTCTCTTTGTATTTTAAACTTAGCCCCTTAATTGAAACACAATTTCAAATTGATTTTTAAAGAAATGTCCTATTAAACTAATTGATTAAAGCTAATGTACATTTTTTGTGATTTTCATGTATTAATCTAACAATTGAAGAGTAATTAATTTCTAAAAATGCAAATTAAACCTAAGATGACATGAAATGAAAAATGTGACAATTTTTATGATTTTAAAATATTAAAAATGATGAAATGCAACTAAATAAAGAAAAACTCCTAAAATCCATTAAAATTATTTTTGGTCTATTTTTAGGAGTTATTTCCATGCAGGGCAAAAATTAGGTGCTCACAGCTGCCCTCTTTGTTCGGAAACATGAAGAGTTTATGGGCAAAGATAAGTGAGCAATTACGAGCAATTTTTTCTTGTTTGAAACTCCATGGGAAGCATTTTTTGAAAAGTCTGACCAAACCTTGCTTCGGAGGTTGCCTACATATCCTTGACTTTAAAGAAATCAGGTCGGTATAGTTCTGGAAATTTTGGTAGCTGGGACTACCGAAAAACTGCAATTTCCTCCTTATTACACCAAAGTCAAAGATGAAAAAGATTAACTAAGCCTATAAGCTACAAGTTAGAAGATTCCTATCTATGAGTCTTCTAAAGCTTGATCTTGAGTCTTGTCTAGTTCTTCACACAGACTTTGATCTGAATCTTGATGCTTGTTAGCTGTAGTTACTGGTTCAATCTTCTTCAGCTTTTTCAAATCAAACTGAGATATGCGAAGCTTGCGACTTCAATCATATCTTGAACAGTCCACATTTTTTCTCCGCTTCTGCACTTTAAGTTCGCTTCTTTTTATTTTCTTTTTGTTTTTCTTTTATTCGAGATTGAGACTTTTTCTTTTGGTTGTTTCGAACCTTTTGTCTCGAGGTGTAACCAGCTCAGAAACCAAAACAAACAAACGAACAAAAATTTTTCTGCCCCAGTTTTCACTAGGAATATTTTGTGAGTTATTGTAACCAAAACTCTATACTACTTCATTATTGGAAGCAATAAAAATCAGGATTGTGTATCCTTGGGAATAAGCGATTAGGGAGTGGTGACTCTATGTTTAGAATGAAATCAACAAGGGATTGGAGACCCTTGTATGCGATGAAGTCGGGGGAATCCATTTCCCGCCATTAAGGTATATTCGAAATGTCATGACAGCATCTCGAGGATATGGGATCATGATCGGGCTCCCTATCTCGAGGATCATCCACGGCCCTGCAGTGGCTCTGAGGTTAAGGGATCTGTTCGCGGCCTAGAAAGAGTTATGAAGATGGGGGACTCCCGAGGCAAGCATCTAGAATCAATAGGCTCTAGTGTCTTGTCTAGTCGTGCCATCCCCGTATCTTTACATTTAATGCATTCTGAACGATACCGTATTCCCTCGCCTATATAAGGGGAACCCATACCATTTTGTAGGGGACTGATGTTGCTCCATTTCTCCACAAATGCAATAATATCTCTCTCTCTCTCTCTCTCTCTCTCTCTTTTTCTAAGTTGTTCGCTCTCACTGGCCTATGGCTATTTTAGCATTTATCATTCTTTTACTTGTTCTTCACTATATCATTCAATATTTGCAGCATAGAGCCTTGCTCGATCATATCTTTGCCCGTTACCCCATTCCCGACTACCCTCGATAGCCCAAGCTCGACTCAAAACTTAGCCTCGAGGCCCCCGTCGACCGGCTTTGCATCCGGGCAACAGGCCCCCTTTGGTTTGATTACTGCCTCGTTTTAGCTCGCTTTTCATCATTATACTTAAAATTCTTAGCATAAACTGCTTTAACAACTAGCTCGAGAATAGGTCACGTATTTTTAGAATCTCATTTGCAAATTTAATTGTCGTTACTATTTTCATGGTAAACAGTTTGGCGCCCACCGTGGGGCTAAAAATAATAGTGATTAATTTCTTGCTGGTTTCGTCACATAGACGCACATTATTTTCACACTTTTTCTTGTCCAAGATCTTTTGATTTCAGGATAACGCCCAGCTCGGTAAGCAAAATCGAGAACGACTACCCCGAAAGTCACTGCAAAGACAATATGGCTTCCCCGGAGGTTGGCACAACATCGCAGGACCCCGATAACGCATTTGGATAGATTCAAGCGGATGCGGGCTTACAAGATGCACAATAGGTCAACAAAGCCTCGCGCACCAATGGTAGCACACAATGTGTTGACCAACAGGAAGCTCAAAAAACCCTGGCCCGGGTAGAATAGGAAGTTAGTCTTCATGTTATTTTTGAAATGCTGCAGACACAACAGTTGGATATCGCACGGCTGCAAAGTCGCCCGGAGACTCCCAACGCAGTAGCGCCGGGAACATCTCTTTACGTCAAGCTAGTACCTGAGAGATCAAGTAACGACGGATCGGTAACTGACCCCGCCACAATGAGGATACTTGGGAATCTCTTCAAAAGATCATTAGGTTTGTGGAAGCTCTTACAGCAACCATCTCCCGAGGAAACGGTCCCAGAACTCGCTTTACAGAAATCCGGAACGCCGAAACTCCCTAGGTGCGACAGGATCTCGGATCCCTATGGGCGCACCATTACTTGCGCGTGCTTGTTCAGAGGCAGCAACCTCCAAGATGATGAGTTCGAACCTGTCTCGCTGAGGAAGTTCGAAGAAACTCTTTCAAAAGAAACCATGACGCAGCGCAACTGCCTGACACTTGACCTCATAGACTTGCTTACCATACCAATGTGGTCCTCCATGTAAGCACGCGCCGGTGCCATCAAAGCAGTATAAAGAGGGCCCGATACACCTGAGGGCGAATGAAGAAGAAATGAAATGTCGCGGAGAAGCTCCCCATTCCCTGATAGGACGAATGAGATCGCTCCCGATTTCGGATGATCAGGCAACACAAGCCTTCACCTGAAGCCTAAACGAAGTATGCCCAACGACTCCAGGACATTTCTAGCGAAGCCTGATTAGATACCCAGTCGAGGTCTAGTTGGATGCCCACACCCGACAACAGCCCCAAATCGGGGCCGTGGACAACCGACCGGGAGCCTCATCGAGTCCGGTATATCCAAGCAGACTCCCGGCAAAGAAACTGATGCCAGACAGATGGAGGTATCATCCATGCGCAGCAAATGGAAGGAACGACTCGATATGTAACCTACCTCGCAACAATAGGGAAATAGCCCGAGTACAGCACCCTCAAGGAACCTCCAACGGAACCAGATTCAACAAGGCACAACTGGCAGGGAAACCCCACCCAGCCGAGTACGATTTCAGCATTGCCATACCAAATATCGTGATCACCATAAGCGAAACCAGGAATGCCAGGCGGCTCAAACTTATTCGACCAAGACCCCCTAAAAAGAACCATGGCTTGGTGCAAGAATCACGAGGCGTGCGAGGTCATTGGCTCAAAAGAACGAAAACCATACTATTCGATAGATAACGCAACCAAGTATCATTAAGCAGTCAGGCTCGAGTCCAGCTCCAAGGGAGGAAGGAGATCAGGAAAAATGAAGCTGACAAGCCACAACGTATTGCCACGATGGTAAAGAGGCAGAGGCATCCTTCAAAGATCCATAAAGTAGAGTGAAAGTTCTCATCGCTAGGAAAAGATGGGTCCGGGGAATATACCCGAAGGACACCCTTGCATTCAAGGAAAGAGACGCCGAGATTTCACCTTGACTCGTATTAACGCGTTGGTAACCCCTTCCTTCATTTTACCTATTTCAAATAAAACATGTTTTCATGAATACAGGTGGTTCGATCAATTATACCGACGATGTCAGGCCAAAGCCAATAGGGAAGTTCGGACTAACGAACCAAATCACTCCCACACCTCGAATCTTTGATGGATTCCCGACGCCAATCGCCACAACGATCAGGAAGGACACTCCCTCTATATAGCCTACCCGAGCTCGGGCAGGAACACTGAGCCCGCAAAACACGGATGTTATATTCAGATGACAACAGGCACACCGCCCGGGAGCGACTTTGACCCCACTTCGCCAAAGGGATGAAACTCCCCGACAGAGGTAAGACTAAACCATTCGACAAGGAGCTACATGCGACGAGAGGAAATCTCTCACCACATGACCCATCGCCGACATCAAGGCCTCTGCCCTCTAAGGGATCATAGGGTAAGCAAAACCACATCTTCGGCCAAGCCTGGTTGAACATAGCAGAAGGCTGTATCAGGGCTCACTCCTCGAAACGTCACCTACGCATCCTGCAACAAGGAAGAACTACTTCGATCCTTTGTTGTTTCTTTTCTTTTACTAACCTATATGCAGCCAATCAGCCGAAGCATTCAAAATTTCTGAACTCCACTCGGAGATCCTGCAGAGGCCCCGAATGTCCAAGCGGGTTTCCAACCTAAAGAAGGTCCCACCAGCAAGATTATAAGCAGAGCAACATACTCCCCAGAAAGGGATCCAACAAGATCGCAATCCTTTCTTTTACAGTCAGACGGCGTGCGATGACCTCCTCATAAGGGCACCGTCCCCTCGAAAGGGCCAATAAATGGCAGGATAAGTTTCAAAATGGAATCATGTAAACGGATCAGATGATCAGGGGAGCCGTACCCACGTGGGCCGAGCTCGCAGTAACGAGACAATATGTATTCACGTCCTATTTCTATGCCAAGCAATAAAGAATATCTTTCTGGCATTTCATACTTCGGAAAAGGCAATTTCGGCATATTTACGGCGAAGGGCTCTCCACTAAATACATCCCGAGATACTCGGAGACATAAACAATTCAGTGCCTACACGACCCCAGGGTCGAAACTCCGGGCTCATCAAGACCTTATAAGGAAACTCCGAGCTCACAAGAAGCGGTCTTCAAGCT